TCATTTTGCACATGACCTGAAGCTGTGTTTCTCAAAGTGGGCTGTGTCTACAACTAAAGCTAGGCGAGACGATCTTAGATCATGTTGAAATAACAGTTTTTAAGTTACATTTATTTTAGTGTTTAGTAGGAAAAAAAAAACCAACCAAATCAATCCATGATTTCACAGGTATGTATTGCTGAGGACCAGTCTAAGTTTAAGTTCCCTGTAAGTCAGTTGAAAAAGTTATGTAAAGCATCGTGCAGCCGAGGCATAATTATGGGAAAATCTTGACAGTGGAATGTGGGTGATGGAGGTCTGGGAGATGCTGAGCTGAGGAAACCTCACGGGTCTAGAATGGGGCCTGTTAGGAGGCCTTTGAAACTGGGTGCCATTTCTGATATGTCCACTTGATCTTGGGAATCTGTTACGGTGTGGGACACATACAAACCTTTTGAGGGGCCTTGGACCCAACCGTGTTGGGTTCAAGAAAATGACTTCCAGTCACTTCACAGAAGCCATCGACTGGCCCGGTGGGCTGGGCCAGCCCCTACCTTCATACAGCCCTGCCCTCTTTCTAGCTCTCTTCTGTGTGGGCATCTATCTGAATGTCTTACCTGCCTTCCCTGTTTGTCCTCAACGCTCCCCAGCTCCTTGTATGCCCGTGTGCAGATTTCCACGCCCACCTTACTTCCAAATTCCTCCTTTGGAGATGAGCAGGGGTAACCACCTCTCAGTGGTCAGTAAGCATTTTCTTCGTTATCTCACGTGGATACTTGTTTTTTTTTTAAACACCTTTATTTTGGTGTGATTCCTGTACAGTAAACTACGCATATTTCAGATGTACAATTTGATGAATTTTGATAGATGTCTACACCAGTGAAACCACCACCACAATCAAGATAGCTGACATTTCCATCACTCCTCAAGAGGTGCAATTTTCGAATTCCCAGTTTATCCCTTCCCACCCCATCACGTGGACATTTAACTACGAATTTCTTCTTAAGAGCCCTTCCTTGTTGGCTTCCTGTGACTCTGATTCTCAAACCTCATATCCATTCTCTCCCTATCATGTAGCCCCTGAGTGTGAGGCACTGGGCTGGGTTGGAGGGGAAGAGGATTAAAACCTGGTTTTTTGCCTTTAAGAGTTCTGAGAGGGGCACAGGGGTGGGATGGACTGGGCTGTTGCATCGGGGAGAATTCATTCTCCTGCTACTTGAATGCCAGCCTCCCCATCCCCACCAAGGTTCTGCTGTGCACCCTTTCTGCCTGAATTCAGAGTCAGCCTGTAGGATTTCACCGCCATCTCCGGTCAGATGCTCCAGTTCACGTGCCAAGGGCCAGACTCCTCCAGGGATCGCTTTGAACTTGAATATATAGACAACAACCTCTACCATGTGCCCTGAGGTGGCTCCCACCACGGCTGGGTCTCTGGGTGACCAGTTCTCTCGTTCCCTTTAGCACCGGCTTTTACTTTCTCCCATTCCCCTTATGTCTCATCAGTTACCAGGGCTTATTCTCCTTCTTACTTCCTATCCCTCTGCTCCAGTCAAGCCCTTCCTTTCCATCCCCGCTGTCATGCAAATTCCGTACCTTCTGAGGAGCCTCTCCTGCCCATCCCAGCTGAAAGGGCTCTGCCTTCCTCTGGGTTCTGAAAACTCTCATTGTCCGCCAGCTTATCAGTTGGCGCTCATTACTCACAGACTCCCATGTACGGTTACTCCTTGTTTTCACTTGTGTTTCTGCCTAATCTTCCAAGCTTTAGAAGTCAGGTCCTGTACAGGATGCTTGCCTGCATGGTCCACAGCATTCAGGAAGGGGTCGTTAGTAACTGTTAGTTGCTTGATGGACCATGTAGCCAAGGGGCTGCCCATCAGGGAGGGGGTGGGCGTGTCTTTGAGACCCTGTACCCTGGAGACTGCGCGGGCTGGTGAATGATTTCTCTCCAGGACTATGAAGCATTTAGAAAAAGTGAGTCATCGCCATTCCCAAATATTCTTTCTTATTGTCATTATCGGACAACACGATTTGTCTAGCGCAGGACGAGGTCTCTGAGATTGAACGCACTGTGGAGCTCCGCAAGCGCTGCTGCCCATGGTCCCTCTCGTTTTCTGGCTGCATTTTTCGTCGGGAGCTGGGCAGCTTCCCTCTGGGTGCCTGTTTCACCTTCCCCAGAGATTCTGCCCCTGGGTATCTATAATGTGGCTTCTGGGTCACACTGGCCAGGTTCTCTTGAACTAAACCACGTCTGTGGGTCCCAGACTTTTGTTTTTAATTGAGGTAAAATATACCTAACATGAAATCTACCATTTTAACTATTTTCAAGGGTATGGTTCAGTGGCATTAGGTATTTTCACATTGTGGTACAACCATCGCCACTGTCCATCTAAGGAACTTTTCCACTTCGCAAAACTGAAATTCTGTCCGTTATTAATCTGTAGCTCCCCTTCCCCCTCCCCCCAGGCCCTGGCAGCCACCATTCTACTTCCTGCTCCTGTGAATTTGACCACTATAGGAACCACACAGAAGTGGAATCATATAGTATTTGCCCTTTTGTGGCTGGCTTATTTCCCATTGCACAGTGTCTTCCAGGTTCATCCATGATGTGGCATGTGTCAGATTCCTGCTTAACGCTGAACAGTATCCCAGTATGGATGGACCACATTTTGTTTATCCATCCATCCATCAGTGGCCACTTGGGTTGTTTCCACCTTTGGCTATTGTGAATTAGGTGGGAGGTGTGATCTCATTGCTGTTTGCATTTCCCGAATGACTAGGAATTATCTTTTTATGTGCTTTTGGCCATTTGTATATCTTCTCTAGAGAAATGCCCTTCACCTCTTTTAAAATTGGGTGGTTTGTGTTTGCCGTTGAGGCTAAACTTTTTTGTGTCCAGGGAAACTGCAGGGCAAGTCCTACTCCACCAGCCCCTGCTGATAGTAACAGCCGCCGTAATGACTTGCGTGACCCTCGCGCTGCTTGAAGTATTTACGTGGGTTCTTTCTCCCCGTTAATCCTCACAGCAACCATCTGGGGAAGATTCTGTGGTCATCTCTACTTTACACGGGAAGAAACTGAAGCTTAGAGGGTGTGACCCTGGTCTGACTCTGTCCCCCGAGGATAGCATTGCTGTCCTCGCCCCCACCCAAGGAGCTGGCATTGAAACCTCTTCATAGTGGACACTTCATCCATGTGTTTGAGAAAAGAAGTGATAGTTTATAGGAAATCACCCAGGCCTCGGGACCTCGGTTCCTCCGGAAAACCGTATTTACTTCAATAGAATCAGTTCCTAAAATCCCAGAGGTTTACATCTGAAAGCAAACCCAGAAGTACATGGCATTTTAAAAAATTCATTTTTTACTAATTAATCATTTTTTTATTGGAGGTACTGGGGATTGAACCCAGGACCTCGGGCATGTGAAGCGTGGGCTCTTCCACTGAGCTATAACCTGCCCCTAGAAGTGCATGACATTTTAAGTGCTAAACCTTCAGCTACTCCAAAAAGCTTTCTGAGCAGTGTGATATATTCACCAAGGATCCAAGTCCCTGCTGAAACTCATTTTGTTGGTGGAGGCGATGTTGCTCTCACAATCCTTTCTTCACTTGAAACTTAACAGCTCTGTGACCCATGAGCTGTTTTCATCTGAGATGCTCAACATGGCCTCCTCTTTCACGTGCTATCTGTCCTGGTTTGGAGGTGACGAGGGTGAGTGAAGGCAGGGGACCCTCACCTTGCCCCTCTGGGAGCCGCAGCTTTCCCAGCCCTGGACAGTTCTGACACACTGGTTCTTTGGGGGAGCCTTCTCCATCCTTTTTCTGTTGGCTTTTATCTGGCCTTGGGTTCACGCAGCTGGGGCTGGAGCTGGGGCCAGAGCCGTGACTTCGGGTTGGGAAGAAGTTGGCGGAACATTCCCCAGCAGGGCTTGGGCAGACCCAGGGAGTCCCGCCTAAAATACAGAGGACAAAGGCGCTCTTGTCCACCGGCCTGGGGGTGGGAGGCATCTGGTCAGTGACACAGGCTTGGCCATTGTATGTCGTGACCTCAGCCAACTTTTTTTTAGCTGAGAAAGGGGAAAAAGGGAGAGTGCAAAAAAGAGAAAAGAAAGAAAGAAAGAAAGCAGGCCTCCAGATCCTTTGCATCTGGAAAGTCCAGAATGCGTTGCTGATTTCCCCACAAGAGCTGGAGCAGATTTGGAAGGAAATGCGCAATGTGGTGGGTTCTTTGTGAAAGAACAGCAGTGAGAAAAGCCGCAGGAACATCCTCCCGGGTGCCTGGCGCCCTGACCCTGGGGGAGCTGCTCGCCTGGGCCTCATTTCCCGCAGAGGGGGCCATGCAGAGGAAGCTGGCAGGGGCCTGGCCCTCAGCCCGGCGACTTCAGACGGGACCCACGACTCTATGAGTGCACAGCCCCTGAAGATGAGCTCTTCCCCAACGATGGTAAGACGCGATCCTGCTCGCCTGCTGATGTGTGTTCAGCTGGCTTTTCTCCGCATGATCCTGGAATGACGTTGACATTTTAAAGAGGCCGTTCTCAGAACCCCCCCGAGATGTGGGCTCCCAACTGCTGAGCTTACAAGGTCTGGTGTGTTGGGGGCGCCTTTCGCAGGCCCAAGGCAAGTGGAGGGAGGGGTAGAGAAGATGTGGTTGTTGTTTGAGAAAGCAGGAAGGGAGGGGGGAGATGATTGAAAGGGGGTGTTTGTTGAGGGAAGGGGAATCTTGCCTCCCCCTTGGTTACCTGGGGAAGCAGTTTAGTTCATTGTGACCGAGAAGCAGGGTAGAGACGTGCATTTTTCTGTCATGGGGATCGGAGATCTTGCCTCTCCCACTTAATTCCTCCCAAATCCAAGGCCTGGTTTCTACCCACCCACCTACCCTCTACTCCATGGCCCAGTTCCAGCAGGGGCACTGCAGGGTGGAAGCCCATTAGGGGACACAGCTCCCTAGAAGATCTGTCCAGTTAATCTGGTATCTGCACTGTGCTTCCAGGCTGGACTGGAGGCTTCTGTCCAGTTTGGTGGTGGCAGCAGTGGCCGCCATAAATTAGATGGTGGATGCTCTCCTGAGACGTAGGAGGAGAACAGCCTTATTTCGCTAACCCTCCTGCCTCTAAAAGTTAGACTCCCCACCTCTTATCAGCCAAGACTTTAGCAGCCACTGTCCTGAGGTTCTGGACAGCTGAGGGAAGTCTGCTTTCGATAGAAAGGCTCGTCTGTCTCTGCACAGAAGCTTCTTCCAGGACGTTCTGTCGCACTGGCTGGGTCAAAACCAGCATCTCTGGTTTCAGCTTGAATTGCAGTAGAGGCCTGAACCTGTACCAGGAGGAGAAAGAGTGCTCATTATCCTGGAGCATCTTGACCTAGGAAAGTTCATAGCAGGGCTTCTCAAAGGTCAAGGTACATCTGAATTGCCCAGGGACCTTGAAAATTGTAGAGCCTGGCTCTAGGGTGGGGCCTGAGAGCTTGCCTTTTTTTTTTTTTTTTTTTGACGGGGGAGGTAATTAGGTTTATTTATTTATTTTTTAGCAGAGGTGCTGGGGATTAAACCCAGGACCTTGTGCATGCTAAGCACTCACTACATTTCTAATCAGCTCACAGAGGATGCCTGGGCCCCTGGTGCAGGGACCACACTTGGAGAAGGATTCTGGTAAAGAACTGAGACCAATCCATCAAGTTCTGACAGTTACAGCTGCCCAGGACCTGGCTGCAGAGCCCTGGGGGTTCTGGTGTTTCTGGCCTTGGCTGAGGATGGTGGCTGGGAGGTTTATGGGGAAGAAGGGATTAGCAAGAAGATGAACACTGAGGGGCATTCAGGGAGCGGGGAGGAGCCCAGAAAAGCTCTTGGCAGAGACCGAGGTGTGTGGGGCACAGGCCGTTGGCGGGTTGTGCCCAGGCTGCAGGTGTGGTGTGAGGGGTGAGCAGAGGTGCTGTCTGCCCACGAGCCTGGAACAGTTCCACTGGAGGCTGCCTTCCATGCTAGGCAAGTTCTAACTTTGGACACAGGGACACCCAAGATGCTGGGATGGACGTCTGGTTCTAGGCTAAATAGAGCACAACCCTGGGTGGCTCTGGGAGTGACAGGGAAGGGGATGGACACAGGCCATCAGGATAGAAGAACTCACCAGAACTCACCATGGTGAGAGGCAGAAGCCCAGGTGTTTGGGGCCTGGGATTCATTCCAGGACACTCAGATGCCTCTGAATCCTGTGTCTACACTTGAATGTGACTTTTCTCCTCCTCCAAAAATTGCATGTCTTCAAAAAAGATAGACTGACATCCAGAAACATCGACTATTAGGCTATATATTTAAAACAAACAAACAAAAACCCCAGCCCTGGAGACCATCTGGTCCAACTTCCGTATTCTTGAGATGAGGAAATTCCATACCAGCGGAGATGAAGTGGCTTGCTCAAGATCTCGCAGCAAGACAGCAGCCGCTCCGAGCCTGGGCACTCCCGCCTCCCTGTTCACATCCTGTGTTCTTTGCCCTGTGCCCCAGAGCCGGGGGTACATCCCCCATAGTCACATCCTCGGCTGTCCCATTCATCTAGTTTCCAGGAGCAGAGGCTCTGAAAATGACTTGGGTTGGTCAGAAGTGTGCCCCTTATGACTCATAGAAACGGTTCCAGCCCCTCTGAGCCATTATCTCCCTCCGGTGCTCAGGGTTCAGAGCCAACTAGGACTCGCTGAGAACCAGCTTGCAGAGTCAGAGGCCTTTGATTGGAATCACTGGGAGCACGGGCCGTTGGGGCTGCAGCGTAACTGGACTGTGCCTCGGCAGTGAGAAGACTGGCTGCCCTGCGTTTCTTTTGGTGCCCGTGGGCTTGCAAGTAGCATCCGCCAAGCTGGACCAGCTGGACGGCGGCCACGGGCCAACTGTCAGAGACTCACTCCCAGCTTTGTGCCCTAATGAGCTCCAGTCCACCTTCCTTTAAAACGGCACCAACCCCCCCCTGCCCCCCAGAGCATCTGTGGGCAGCAGTTGTGTCACCTGTCGTTGAAGTTTCTTTCTGGCAAGCAGGCTGGTTTGCATGAGGTGCCAGGCCTCTGAGTGCCGGGGCTAGCAACCTTCAACTCCCTCCCTCACTTCTGAACTTCCTAGGTCAATTTTGAACAGGACAGAATGCTTGGGAAATTTAGTTATGGGGTTTTCTTCAGAGTCAGAAGAACTTGAGAGTACCAGAAAGAGTGGCATAAGGCATCTTGGGGTTTTGCACCTTAACACTAAAGAAAGGCTGTATTTCTTTTTCTCTTCCCGCCTGTCCCCCCAACCCTGTCCCAGTACCAAGTGCTGGCATAGCTCTCTTGTTCCCAGGCTTTTTCCTCTGCAAAGGGAAGCTGGACCTGGAATCATCTAGAGGAGACTTCACCCTGGCAGGAGCTCCCTAGGAAGAGTGTTGCTGCTGTATGAGCCACAAAGTGTCCTTCAAAAGCATCTCCCAGGGCAGGCAAATTGACATCAGTGTAGATAGAAACTAGTATAGAAAATCTCAGGTGCGTTTTGAGATCCTTTAGAACTATGGGAAGTGCTAAACTCTGGCCCATCTCCTTCCTCTGACAAATAGGGACTTCTCAGCCTTAAAGTGGCCAGAATAGTGACCTGTGGCAGAGGAGGAGAATTATGTGTTCAGCCTCCACGTAGAGGTTTGGGGTATAATGCCCATAACCTAGTATCCTGGTTTGGGCATAAATTTCATGATTTCCAATTTCTGTTAATTGTTTCACATTAGTGGCATCTTTCCCCCTACCAATTCTGAGTCTGGAGTGAATGAAGCAGGATCTCCAGACCAAAAGAGTTTCAGACCTCTTCCTCTTTGGAGCCCAAAAGAGTTTGGGGGACTTGCACAGGAAAAGAAAAATAAAAGGTAATGTTTCGTGGACATTTATGTTCCTTGCCAGGATGTCTCTGTCATCACTTTTGCTTATGTGGCCGCTGCTTTTGCAAGTTGGCGCTGGGCATTTAAATCCCTTGAAATTACCTTATGGTAGTTTTAGGCTCTGTTACGAAAGACATTCCTCGGGGTGCAGAACCCCAGTGTTTGAGGGCTGGCAGTCCCTGGTTTTACAGATGAGAACACACAGGTCCAGGGAGGCAAAGGGGACTGTAAATTACAGCTTGTTGCCCGGGAAACACAGTCTCATTATGCCCAGACCCCTGGTACTTGCTGCAGATGCTTGTGAAAGTCCCGATGTGGAGGTAGGATGTCAGAACAGCCCCTGCTATTTTTATCTGCCAGGGGAGGGGTAGGAGGAAGGGAGCCAGCCTTCTCAGCAGCCCGTCAGGAAGCTGGGTTTGAATAAAATGTCTCTGTTAATCACAAGCCGATGAGCAGAATCACTTGGATTTTTCCTGCTCAGAAGCCAGATGCTGGAACAGGCTGCCGGGAGCACACTGCCTTTCCCTTTCAAAGTCAGACAGACCTGAGAAACGGGACAAAACCTGGGGCCTTTCTCTGGGGTTCCCCAAACCCCTCTAGACTCCAAGGTGGGGAGGCAGCTGCGGCTTCCCATCTTGTTCCTGGAGCTGTTCTCATATTCCAGGAAAGCTGTGGGAATCCCCTTCCCCACGTGGCCCTCACCACGGCCAGGAGGCCTCTGGGCACCTGCTCCAAACCTCGTAAGCAGCACGAGTGACTGTGCTGTTCAATGGCACAAATCATGCTGTTCGGGTCAAGGTGGAGATTCTCCCCAGAGATGCTGAAGAGCGTGTATCTCTCAGATCCCTGTCATGACAGACGGTGTCACCAGGAAAAGCACCAGCCGTCCAGAGTTCCTCATCATTTGCATTGTTTCCTCTCGAACCTGTCAATTGGCTCTTCTGTCTTAAATCTGTCTGCCAGGTACAACAAGAATAAAAATCTCTTCCCTCCAGGGTCGGTGAAATGGGGCTCATGCAGGAAGGTATCCAGGGCCCACGGGGAAGCCACTTCCTACACGATCGATTCTTCCCGCCCCTCTGCTGCTTGGCCCCCAGACACTTCACGGCCATGACATAGCTTCTGAACCAGGAGGGTTCATTCATTCCAGCTCATTCTTGTAACTCATGGTATTGTTTGCAAAACTTTTCCATCCATCCTTGCCCCGGTGGAGACCCCCATGGTTTCCAGTTTAGCAAGTTTTCCTGCGAGGGTTGACTTCCTGTCTCCTTGCATGGACTACATTGTAATTGTGTTAATCAAAATTCCTGGTTAACCAGATCATCCCCTTCCTTTTTGGGGTCAGAAAATACAGAGTTTATTGTTCTGTGTTCTCTCCCTATTCAGTCCTGAGAAACAGGCCCAGTGAGTTGATTGGCCCCCAGGGAGGCACTGGGGGCTTGCAGATGGAGATGCAGAGTGGCTTGGACTGTCTTCCAGGAGCGAGACTTGTCTGCAATGCTCAAAGCGGTTCAGCCTGCAGGCCCAGGGCTGGCAGCTTGGTGGATACCAGGCACCCCCAGGG